CACAGAATCACATATTAGCATTTTATTAAGCAAATAGAAGTTTACAAATCTGGATAAAGTACAACTCAGGATACAGTTCTTCCGTCAGGACAGCCCCTGAACTCTACCCACAGGCAGGCTCTCCCTGGGCCCCTGGGCCCCTTGGGCTGGCCTCTGTCCTGCTCCAGCAAGTGTCACAGGGTCTTTAGCTGTGCCAGTAAGCTCCCAGGAGCACCCTAATCCTGTCCAAAGTCCCTCGTTCTCTCCCTCCTTGGATCGGCATGGCCACTGTCACTGTCCTGCGCTGGGGGTCAGGAAGCCCACGGCACCATCTCCCACTGGCCTTCTGGTCGTGCTGCCACCATTTCTCTGCTGCTGTTTCTCAGCATCCGAGCCTTCTTTGATGTTTCAGCTCTCCTTGTTCTGCCGCCTGCGTCTAGGAGGTAGCCAGTGCAGGAAACTGGTCTGAAGAACGCTCTCTGTACCCCCTCTTCTCGGTGGCAGAGAGGTCCCTCCCCCACTCCTATCCCTGGGGTGGCTCATTGTAAGCCTCAGCACAACAAACAACTCCCTGTTAGTGAGTCAATCCTGACACCTCGCCACCCTTCAAAGGACAGAGTAGAACTACCCGAGGAGGGTTTCCAAGACTGTCAGCCTTTACGGGAACAGAAAGTCTGATCTTTTTCCCTTAGAGTGGCTGGTGGGTTTGAACTGCTGACCTTGGGGTTAGCAGTCCAGTGCTTAATCAATGCCAGGGCTTCTTGCTTCTTGATCAAGGCACCATCCGGTGGTTTTCACCTGCTGCCGTTTGGGGAGCCGCTGTTCCTGCGCACTGTGAAACACCACTCCTCAGACTGTCGATTCTCCCCAGCGCCTGATTAAGCTGGCTGCCACGGCATGTGGTCTAGCCCGTGTCCCACACGGACACCAAGGGCGCTCGCTGTTTGTCTTTCTGACAGCTGCACTATGGGCCCTGTGGCGACCCTGAAGCTGAAGGTCTTTAAAGGACTCCCCTGAGACCTTTTCCCTGTCTCTGCTGATGATCACAACCAGCCACGCATCCAGCAGCCAGGGGAAGGTCTGCCCTCTCCCGTGCGACACTCAGTGGCTCAATAGCCCCTACGTGACCAGATGTCCTGACTAAGAAGGGAGCTGAGGGACCACTCAATGCGGTTCGCTCTTCCCATGTGGCCTGAGGCTTCAACGGTGGAGAAAACAGAAAGCATACCTGTCACTTCACCTGTGAGATGTCAAAAACCACACACCCCTCCCCCATTAGAATCTCTCCATTGTCAGCCTATCATAGCGGTTCTCAACTTGTGGGTCGTGACCCCTTTGGGGGTCAAACAACCCTTTCACAGGGGTCGCCCAATTCATACCAGTAGCAAAATGACAGTTAGGAAGTAGCAACGAAAATACTTTTATGGTTTGGGGTCACCACAACATGAGGAACTGTACTGAAGAGTCACGACATTAGGAAGGTTGAGAACCACTGGCCTAGCAGATAGCAAAGCTTCCTGATCCTCCTCATTAGGGTTATATAACCTAATTCACATGACCCCCCACCCCCAAAAGGATACCTTGGACCTTTGCATGATTTAGCAGACAGTTCGATCTACCCCATTGGTGGGCCACAAGCACCTTATTTTCATAGCCCCAAACACCAGAGCAAGAAAGACTGCACACACAAAAAACATGTCCATGACACTACTGATTAGAATTGCAGGGCTTTATAGTAACATCCTTCTTTTCTGAGTCTTGTAGGACTGGCCCTGGATGAAAGCAAGGAATCCATTGAAAGGGTAGAGATGTCTCTCAGTTTACCTGATCATAGACTCCCAAAGCACAGGGTGTTAGGCAGGGTTCTCTAGAGAAACAAACCAGGACACTTATGAGTCTATATATATGGATAGAGAAATATGGCGTGAAGGAATATAACAGACAATTAGTCCATATAGCAGTACAGAGGGCTCAGTTCCACTCACTTCTGTGGAACAGCTAATATACTAGAAGACTTCAACTCATGAGGGTTGCTGGGTCCAAGGTCAAGGAAGTAGACAGCTGAGTCTTCCCTAGAGCAATTCAGGCAGTCTGGCCACAGGCAGCAAATAGCAGGGTGGGTCACCAGCATCAGCAGTTCAGCAGCTTAGCAACGCAGGCCGGATGGAATATCGAACTCAAGCAATGCAAGATGACAGGATCTGCCAGCCTCAAGCACAAGCGATGCTTACACCAGGAGTGTGGCAAAGCAGGTCTCGAAGGAACCTCAAGCTCTAGTGACATGATCCACAGGTTGGCTGCCCCACAGGTAGCGTAGCTCACAAGTTGAGGCAGAGAACTAGCTAAAGCAGCCGCACGCTGGTCCGATCACCAGAGAGCAAGAGAGAGAGGGGTGGGCCTAGCCGAGCCATTTATCTCTTTGCCCTCCAATCAAACTGCAACCTTATTATTCCCACATGTTCCTATTAGCCAGGTTGTTCCAATAAACCTACCTACCACCATCCAGCCCTTGCCAATTTGGTACCTGTTCACAATTCTGTAATGTATTAGTCTGAGTTGACTAGAGAAACAAATTCATAGACGCTCATATGTGTATAAGAAAGCTTTTATAGAAAGACTAATTGTACATTAAGAAAACCTCCCAGCCTAGTCCAGATCAAGTCTATAAGTCCGATATTAGCCCATATGTCAAATACCAATCTACAAAGTCCTCTTCAGACTCACAAAACATGTGCAATGATCTTGAATGCAGGAAGATCACAGGCCAGTGGGTGGGAAGTCTTGTGGATCCAGTAGCATTGTAAACATCTCAGCACTGGCAGGGGTCTCCACATGTAGCTCCATGTGTCTTCAACAGCAACGTCTCCCCGGAAATAAGCGTGTATCCCATCTCCAGTGAGCTACTTATCTCCTTAGCTCCTCCAAATGAGGTCATCAAGCTGCCACCTGATTGACAGGCTGAACTCCACACCTTTACTCATAAGTCTTAAATTGACAACAGATTATGTAACTATCACACGCAGCATCTACATTTTCCCACTTTTCTGACTTCCATGTGACTACAGGGAGGAAGGATAGAACCAAAGGCCTTCTGCCCAAAAGGATCTGTGCCTCTGAGGATCTGTGTCAGCATTGTGCACACTCCAGCTGTCCGTCATGGTCCCCAAAAGGCTTTCACTTACTCTGATGTAATTGAGCCTCACACTAATCCTGGAGATCCTACAGTGCCAGTCTCCTCCTTTACCAATTCAGACGCAGGTGGGTCCCACCAGCCCGCATCAACGGAAAACATCCTATATAGAGGCACTTGTGGAGTTTTTTGTTTTGTTTTGTTTTGTTTTTAAAAAGGTTGTTCTTAAACGTTCAGGTTACTTTTAATTTAGTGGGAGAGACAGCCAATCAACAACTAACCCAATATATAAACATACAAGTATAGAGCTGGTATTCTGTTGGGTCACACAATCAGACAGGCTACTCATCCTGCATTGGCATCTCTAATTATAAATTGGGATTAGGGCACTGAAGAAACTGAGTGGTGACGTGTGCAGCCACGGGCATACCCTGTTTCCCCGAAAGTAAGACATCCCTCCAAAATAAGACCTACTTACAGTTTTGCCTCTCGCTGAAATATAAGGCATCCCCCCAAAATAAGACCTCCCTCAAAATAAGGCCCCTCAAAGCTACCGTAACTCTGGACTCTGGACCGTAGTGGCGGGCACTGCCGCACAGCTCACTGTTGGCCACAGCGCAGTCGGAGCAGACAGGAAGTGCAGGGTCTCTTTTAATAAAACAAAGAATAAATGTGTACCGTATTCTTCTTCATGAAAAAAATAAGACATCCCCTGGAAATAAGACCTAGCGCATCTTTGGGAGCAAAAATTAGTATAAGACACTGTCTTATTTTCGGGGAAACAGGGTATTTACCTATGGAGACCAGAGAAGGCAGCCCGAGGGAAGAGCGGACATTCAGGCTGAAACAAAGGACAGCCACCTGAATGATCAGAGCAATTCTGACAACCTTTTCTTTCCAAGGAGAGAAAATAAGGCTGTTTGTGCCTATAAAGACCGGAACCGCCAATGGCAGTTGTGTTTGTTTGTTTGTTTGTTTGTTTGTTTTGAGGGGGTGAGTTTTTCTTGTCGGAAAAAGGTTAGGTCACTCAAGAAGTTAATCAGAAAAGAAAAAAAAAAGTTAATAATTAGAAAAACAACTGGCAGGCAGATTTTTTTTCTCCAGATAATATTATGAAGAAATGAATCTCCCATCACTGGAGGTAAATAAGCATAGATTGCGCAAGCACATGGAAAAGACGCTCCGTGGACCATTTCAGGATTGGTGGTATGAACGAGGGTCCGATTAGGCAGTGGTTCTCAACCTTCCTAAGGCCGCGACCCTTTCATGCAGTTCCTCATGTTGTGGTGACCCCCCAACCACAAAATTATTGTTGTTGCTATTTCATTACTGTCATTTTGCTACTGGGATGAATCGGGCAACCCCTGTGAAAGGCTCATCGACCCCCCCCAAAGGGTCACGACCCACAGGTTGCGAACCGCTGGATTAGAGGTTAGCCTAATGTGTGTTTGATTCTACATTAGAATCATGCCTGCATGACGTGTGTACTTGATTCTATGGAAACTACAAATGCCTGCATGACTCACACTACCTGTGCTCCGTCGGTCCTGTTAACTGGCTTCACAAGTGAAGGTGGGGCCGGAAGAGGCATGGCCACTCGGAGGCCCAGGGAGGCGCAATCACTTTGGAGGCTTTAGTGCCACTGTCCACGCAGAGCCTGGGGAAGCACAAGAGTGCTTGCAGTGCGGCAGGGTCAGGGCCCACAAAGCACACGCGACTGCAACAATTGTGGTAGACTCTTTGAGGAGATGACCCCGCGGTTCAATCTTGGTGAATTTCCCCCAAACCTCTATCTCTGCCTATTGATTGGGTTTGTTTTTTAATGAACAAAGATGTAGAAGGTTTGAGGGCATGCATGCAATGCTCAACGCTGTTGTTTCCTGATTTGCAGTCATTTTTCAGGATGGCAGCCAAGCAAATGCAAAACCCTTTCCAGAAACCGGAGATGATCGTGAACCCACAACCGCAGCCACCGTACAGGCCAGACTTGCTCTGCTGCCGTCCACTAGCCGAGCACCTCCCAACACTGTCGCAGCAAGAGCAACCGGGACCCCCCCTGCCTCCGCTTCCAAGTCTGAGGACCCGGCAACCCATCCAATCAAGACTCCAGCCCCACTCATGTCAGCAGCTACAGAGTTCTCATCCCCCAGCCCATTAATCTACACCCTCTTCACAGCCCAGGCCCCAAGTAACACCTCACAATTGGTTCCTCCCGTTAGCGAAGCTACCATCCGCCCCAGTGCAACTCCTCACTCCCAGGCACCCACCACCCCTCCTCCCACCCATACATCTGTGACCAGCCCAGCAACTGTCAGCCACACCCCTGGGGGAACCACCCACACCAGGAACCAGACCACGCACGCATGCAACTGCACAACCAGCCCGATGCCCTCTCAGCCCACCCATGTCCCAGGTACAACCCCGGGTACCCACAATGCCACCCCAACAGCACACCCGACACCCTCCGCTCCTGCGCCTACCCTTACACCACAGCCATCACCAGCCCAGACTGGAATCTATGAAGTCCTGAATGGGAGCAGGCTCTGTGTCAAAGCAGTGCTGGGCCTCCAACTGAGTGTTCAGGACCAGGAGACGGTGAGTGGGGCCCACTATCTTCAGGAAGTGTGAGTGGAGCTGGCCGTGCCCAGAATGAGCTGTCCCTCTGCTGTCCTTCCTGGTCTTCAGGGGAAGCCAGGAGCTGTGGGCTCAGCTTTCCCCAGGGATGCTAAGTTACACGGTGGATCTGTTTGAGGGGCTTGGGAAAGTTCAAGAGAAGACGGAATTTAGAAATAGTGGGATCTGCTCATGTTTTGGAGCTCCCCCCTCATCCATAGAAAATGGGAACTGATGGAAAGTATGTGGGGGCAATAGATAGATACACGATCCTTGCTGCTAGTCAGTCACCCTGGGTGGCAGTTTTCAGTGTCAGTCCCAGATAGGTCCGCCCCATCGCATGCATGACTCCCCTCAGGAAGGTTGGATTCGATGACTCTGTCTTCCCGGCCATGCTGCCTGGGTGGTCCAAACAGTGAATGGACGCGGCTGCGAAGAGAAAGATCTGTGTGGTGGGAACAGGTGTGAATCCATCCAGGGGTTCTGCGGAAGAGAAGCCTGGTGATCTGTCTCCAAAAAGATGAGCCAGAGAAAGGCCTGTGGAGCACAGTTCTCCTCTGATGGTCTACGGTCTGCAGAAGTCAGTCAGCTCCATAGAAGCCCGGTGAACTAGTTCCTGCCACCCAAGACAAGGGGTGGGGGATACATCGATGGCTGTGACATTAGTGTGGGACATCTAGATGAACAAAAAAGTCAGCAGGGTGGGGCTGCCATTATTTGGTTTCTCAAAGGCATCACCATAAAAATAGTACATCCTTTGGGGGAGCACAGTTTAATGATTTCAACGAAACCTTGCAAGTCCAAGTTTTCATTTGCGATCAAACCAAACCCAACTCAAGGCCATCAAATCATAGGACAGGGTAGAACTGCCCTGTGAGTTTCTGAGACCGTAACCCTTTATGGGAGGAGAAAGCCGCATCTTTCTCCCGAGGAGCTGGCTGGTGGTTTCAAACTACTGAAACCAACAGGTAATTCCTACATCAGACGGAAGTCCATTAAATAGCACACCCCATCCTACAGAGCCTTGCGACACATCCCATTTACCAAACTGTCAATTCCGTACAGCCTGCCATGGTCACTCATGTCAACTCCACGCATCACAGATGAGAACTGAGCGCCACAGGGGTTCTCGATTCCCTGCATCTTTATGGAAGAAGATCCCCAGACCTCTGGGTGTGTTCAGCCCCCCCACCTTTCAGCTAGCAGTCAAGTGCAGATACATTCCTGCTGTAGGTTATCTATCAAGAAGCATCTCTCGAGGCTCCTCTAACACATCTATGGAATATACTGCTTGGAAATGACATGTGTACCAGGGAGCCCGCAGCTCACGTTCCCAGCTCCATCTCCCGCTCAGGAAGCTGATGGATCTTATTTATTTTAGGCCCTTTCACCGCAGAAGTACTTCAACCTCAACCCCAATGTGACCCACGCCTCTGGGAACTGTGGCGCTCGGAAATCCAACCTCCTCTTGAATTTCCAAGGCGGATTTGTGAACATCACGTTTACCAAGGTGAGGTCTGAGCGCTCCAGCTGGCTCTGGGAGCCCTCATCTTCTCCCTCCCCCTGGGGCCCGTGGTGCAACCCAACCCAACCCAACCCTTGAGTGTAAGTCCCAGCGGAAGGGAGAGGGCCACTGATAAGGATGAGGGCCCGGGATATGGAGAGGGGGAAGTTTCAACATCTTATGTTTGTCTTCTTCCCTCTTCAGCCTCTTAGGGGGGCGACTTGGCCTCTGGGGAGTCCAGCCATTGGCACCCTGGGCAAGCCACCTCCAAAGGAGGAAGTTCTACAGAGGAGTGGGCCCAGTGGGAATTCCCAGGGGAGGCAGGAACATGTTAAGATCAAAGCGAAATGTCACGAAGGGTTTTTTCCAACCACTGCTGCCCAGATTCAGGGACTCACCAGAGACTGGGCTTTCCAGACCACATCTTGGAGGGGGGTCGGCAAAGGGGTCAAGTTCAATGAAGGTGGAAGCTGGTGACAGAGACGTAGCTGCAAACGTGTCACTTATTTTCCTTGTGACACGGGCAGGCAGCTTACCCTGTATGGGTTTTATTTTGTCATTTGTAAATGGGCCACGGAGGGGGAGGAATTTGAGACCACCGCTGCTGAGCGTGTGTCCGGGGCATGAGGAGCTTTGGACCTCAGGAACCAGCAGCTGTGTTTGCAGGAATTGGGATGGCAAGCTGTTGGAGAGAGGATCCAGAGCGATGGAATTCCCTGGAGTGTCCTTGCAATCGGTAGAGAATGAGCCAGGGAGGAGGCTGTGAGAAGACAGCTACAGCCTTTGTCTTACCTGGGACCCTTGAAGTGAAGGAAATGGTATCGTAATAGAAAAGCCCAGCAGACAGGCCTGGCCGGACGAACTCTGAAAGCATGCTTACTGGCTATAGCACCTCTACTTTGGATCCTAGCTTCCTCACCTGTAAATCATCAACACCTCTTTAACGGGGCTTGTAGGCACACTGGTGGCACTTTGGGTTAGGCATTGGACAGCTAACTGCAAGGCTGTTGGTTCAAACCCACCAGTCATTCCACAAGAGAAAGATGAGACCGTTTGCTATCATACCCTATCTAGGATCTATGTGAGTTGGAATCTGCTTGATGTCAATGGCTTTTTGGTGCCGGTTTGGTTTTTCGTTTTGGTTTGTAGCAGGACTTTAAGGATCCCTGGTGGTACAGGGGTTTAAGTGCTCAGTTGCTTACCTAAAGGTCTGTGGTTTGAACCCATAAAGAGCAATAGCCTTGAAAACCACTGAGTGCTTCTACTCTGTCCTATAAGGCCATGGGGAGTTGGAATGAACTCGACAGCTGTGGTGAACAGGACTTTGGGAAGATTAGGAACGGTGTGCATATAAACTGTGTAGCACAGTGCTGGATTCCCAGCAATGCCCAGTAAAGGGTAGGGGCTATTGTTATCGCTAAACTGATCACAAAGGCTTTATCCTTCTTATTTTTTCTCTGTAAGGGAGAGATGCTCATGTGAGATTAGGGTTTCCTTCCTGCTCCTGGGAAGCTCTTCCCATCTCAGAAGCCCGATGGGTTGGTTCTACTCTGTCTTAGAGGGTCACTTTGAGTTGAAATCAACTCGATGGCTAGATATGAAGTTATATAATATAAAGTTATATATATGTATATATATATATATATTTTTATATATATATATAAAGTTACCAAGAATAAAACAAGTCACTTCAGCAAAATGGCCGAAGGAAAGTATGTTTACTTATCATGGGGGCTTGATTCCACCACCCCACCCCACCCTGTGAGTAACTGGAGAACATCAGACCCCACTTTTCCACCTCCTCCCCTCCACTCTCTCATCCCTCATCTTGATGTTCCTCTGTAGCACGCTGCTGTCTCTGCGGCCGGGGCCTTAAGCAGAACTGCAAACAGAAACTTCCTTGGCACCTGCTAGCCTCTCTTTTTAGGGATCCCAGGTGGCATCGTGGTGAACACATTAGGCTGCTCACCACAAGGTTAGCAGTTCAAACCACCAGCTGCTCCACGGGAGAAAGATCCACGTTATACTCTCATAAACAGTACCATCTCTGAAACCCACGGGGGCAGTTCTACCCTGACCTGTAGGGTTATAAAGGAGTCGGCAATGATTAAGTGGTAAAGTCTCTTTTTGCTACTTTCCTCTGTCTCCTTTTGTCCCCAGGCCCTGCCTGTTGGATGCTTTCAGGCTAAACTCTGACCAAACTCTACCCCTGTATTGAACGTCTCTAGGCTCCAGATAGCCCCTCCCTCCAGAGGGGTGGGGCAGAAAATGAGTGCCCCGGTAGAGCTAGAAGCACTAACGGATCCTTCCTCCCTCCACCCACCTGCAAAAGGGCACACCCTCAGTCTTGGGCCAAAGGGCCCTGTTTGCCCCCGTCTCCCCACCCAACTCACTTTACTCATTCCATTCTCCAGTCAATGTCCACTCACAGCGACCCTCTAGGGCAGGGCAGAACTGCCGCTGTGGGTTTGCAGGACTAACGCTTTCTGGAAAGAGAAAGCCCTTCTCTCTCCCACGGAGCAGCTGGGGGGTTCCTACTGCTGGCCTTGCCATTAGCAGCCCAGCTGCTGACAACGCAGCGTCCCATTCTCCTGCACAAATGAATGGCCCCAAGCAGCCCTGCACTCTAAGAGAAAACCTAATTCGGCAAAAGCAAGGTCCACAAACGCAAGGCCGAAAGGTACGAAGCCCTTAAAGCGAGAAGCGGACAAGGAAAAGAGACGTCCTTCCATGTCTCTTTTCCCATGTTTGATGAAGATATTTGGACAAGAAGATGTTCGTTTCCCCCTAAAAGCCAGGGTCAGGCTGAGAAGCGGCAATGGACAAAGCCTCAGTGTCTGGGGACACGTCGTCCCGTCAGATGGAACAGCCGCTCCTTGGCTGGTGACACCCGGTGGGGCAGGGGCTGCTGGAGAGCCAGCAGCTCTCAGTCATTGGGACTGATGTCAAATATCGGCCCCTTCTCCTCCCTCAGCTGGTGGCCAGAGGCCCATGTGGCCGGTTCTTCAGTGGTCAAGCAAAGGCAGAAGTCTAGATCTTTGCACAAACGTACACGAGGTGTCAGTGCCTGCAACCTTTTTTTTGTTTTCAATCCGAGCTTCTTGCCAGCCAAGCGCTACACAGTTGGCGGCCACACTGGGCCCATGGGCTTCGGTGCTGCTGCCGCTTCCCCCTTAGTAAGTGGAATGCACTGGAGCAGGAAAGCCTTCTTGGGGTCTCCAAAACGCAGACCCTCTCAACAATTCGACTTCTCAGACCCTGCTAGTCTAGAGCTGTGTTTCTTAACCTCACAGGGGTGCTGTTTGGGGCAAGATCATTGGCTGCGGGATGTCCTGTACCTTGCAGGATATTTAGCAGCAGGTCTAGCCTCTGCCTACTAGTTTAAGGTGACCAGACGTCCAGCTTTTGGCGGGACAGTCCCGATTTTAAACAGTTTTTCCTGTGTCCCACAGCATTTTTAAAAAGTCCCGATTTTTGGAAAGAATGCACGACAAGCTAGGGTATATGGTTTTTGGCTGCCATGTGGCTATTTCCCCAGGATATGAGTTTTATCAATGGTGTCCTGCTTTACCAATGTTAAAATCTGCTCACCTTATTAGTAGTTGCCAGTAGCAGATACACACATCCTTACACACACACCACCCCCACCACCCCCACCCCCTGACTGTGAAAACCAAAATGCCTCCAGACATTGCCAAATGTTCTCTTAGGGGGGACCTCAGGAAAATCACATCTAGTTGAGCTCCACTGCCCTAAAAAAAAGGAGGGGGGACCTGGGAAACTAGAAGTTGGTGTGGGTCACGGTGGAACATGGATGAATGACTGGTGAGACACAGCTGTAGACCCTAAAGGGACGCTCCTTAGAAGGCCTGCCTGGCTGCGATCTGCCAATTGAGCACTCAGGATGTACTGAGCACGGACCTGGTCCCCAGCATTGGACTAGGTCAGTGGTTCTCAGCCTGTGGGTCACATGACCCTTTCACAGGGGCTGCCCGATTGATCACAGTAGCAAAACGACAGTTAGGAAGTAGCAACAAAAATAACTTTATGGTTGGGGGGTCACCACCACATGAGGAACTGCATGAAAGGGTTGCGGCGTGAGGAAGGTTGAGAACCACTGGTCTAGGCCTTATGGGAGGAAATAGAAGACATAGAAGCTACAGTCAGAGGTTTCAAAATGTGTACAATGATTTGTTATTTTGAAAAGGGAAATACTACCAAGGGGGGGTGTCAAGGAAAAACATCTGCCTCCTGAGATCTTTCTTGGCCCAGTTGTTCAGTCGAGACGTAGAAGGTCCATCTCACGCTCTGTGTGACCCCGGACAAGTCAGCTCTTGGGAGCCTCAGTTTCCTCTTCTCCGAAGCAGAGCCAGCTGGCATCTGTTTGGCCGGGCTGCCGCTGTGCCCATGACTGCCCTGGCTGAGAGCGAGCGTGGGGTCTGGCTGGCTCATCATGGGGGAGGGGTTTAAGGGAGGGGGGGGAAGGAGTGGGTTCCTCTCTCGTTTCCCTCCATTTCCTTTTTTTGAAGAACTGAAAGCCTCTCTGTGCCAGCATCTCATTTGATTAGATTCACACCTTGGGGGGCTGCTAGGCCCCACCCCCACGGCTGCCCCCTTTAGCTCCTGCTCTCGCCCTTGGCCCTTGGAGAGCCTCTCTTTTCCTGTGCTCAGGAAAGCAGCCGAGGCCTCTGGGTCAGCCTGCGGGACAGGAGGACAGTGGTGGCCCTGGGGAGAGGGCAGGCCTGCGTCAGGTAGGGTATCTGCGTGCTGAGATCCTGAAGTCCCGAGCAGCCGGCGCTAGGATTAATCACGGAAATGTTCTGCTCACAAAAAAGAAAAAAGAAAAAAAAAACCCTGCTGGGCGTAAAGGCAATGTCCACATCCTGAACCGCTGTGACCACACGGCCCTCCCACGATACACCTGGTGGAAGTTGAAGGAGGACCCTGGGGCTAGATGGCGGTTGGGCCTAATGGTCAGCTGGTTCTGAATCCCCTGTGTAAAGGTGGGCTTGGCCTTTGTGGAAGTAGGGCTCTTGGATGCGGTGTTGCAGGGTGCCCCATAGGTACCAGCTGTGAGGTCAGCATCCCACTGGCTGAGTCGTGAGGTGGAACTTTTGCAAGTGGTCAGTTGGCACAGACACTGAGTGCTGGCCTTCTGTCGGCAGCTATGCTAGCTGGCCGCACCCAGCCCCCTCCGGCACTGCTCGTGGGATTTGCATGTTGTCTTCAAGACTCTGTCATGGGAGGGATTTCTTCCTCTACCCCCCCCCCCCAGCCCCGAATGAGAAAGAGACAGGGCAGAGGACAAGCCTGTGAGTGCCCAAGGAGAGCGCTGACTATACACTGTGTCACGCGGGGGGTGGGGGGGGTGGGGCAGGAACTTTCCCTGGAGGTCCCTCCCATCAACCAGCTGAAGTTCCAGCTATTTCTGTGATCATTCGTGCTATCTAAGTCCGTATATCTTGTTTGGCCCCCTTTCCCGTGGTAGCACTGATCACCAGAGGGTGAGTGGGGAAGCCCTTCTAGAAGTGCAAAGCACCCTTTCCTTCTGCCACAGGGAAGCGGGGGATTCCAGGAGGCCGCCCACCCGGCTCAGGGCTCGGCAGCATCAATCTCACGCTGCAGCCTGAGCGACTTGCGCACACCCAGCCCTGCTCTCATTCCCTGTGGGGGGCCATCTAACCTTCCTGGAGACATGAACTCCCTAATGTATTTAGAGCATTTGACACCCTACCCAGGAAAATGCACATTCGATTTTGCATACATTTTCCCCCAGAAGGTTCATGGATACCACGCCACCCCCCATACTTAAGATTGAGTGGTCATCAGGTTAAAAATTGCTGCCCTAAGATATCAATCAATACCACCCCCCCACCTTCAACTCCCAGTGGCGCAACCTAAAGTTTTCAAGTTGTACCAGCAGGTGCTGAATTTCAGGTTCCAGAAGCACTTGTGTAGTTAACGCGACGTTTTCATAACATTTAATTAAATGTATATATTAATATATATATTGACAACTATGAAAGTAAAGAATGAAAACAAAAATTTTTTCCCTGAAATTAAAATTCAGGCGTTATAGGGTTAAGACCCTCCTTGGGTGCAGGACCAAGTTCTTGTTTATTCTTTACTTACTGTGTGGTATGTTGACTTTTTATTTGACATTTTCCAACACAACTACAGCTTAGTGCCGACACGCACCCAGGCCCCTGAGTCAAGAATTTAATAGCTTCCCTAAAGAAAGCTTGTACGCCAGGAGCGGGCCCACAGGTTAACACAGCGCTGTGTTTACAGGATGAAAACTCCTATTACATCAGTGGAATGGGGGCTTCCCTGACCGTCTCAAATCCAGGTCAGTATGTAGAGAAAGACTTTTCCATGAATGGTGGCACGGCTTTTCTGGTGAGGGCATTTTTATTTTTCTCTTTGTTTTTGTTCTATGGAAACTTTCCTCTTCGTCCTACCTTTAAGCCCTTTAAGGAAAAGGGAGCCAGGTCTTTGGGGAGTTGACTAGATCTTTGCTCACCTGCTCATGAAGGAAGGTGGGCTAGACGATGCACCAATAAGGAGTTCCCATGGCAAATGTTAGCTGTAGGATCTTAGGCAAATGTTTACAGCTCTCTGACTCCCCGTTTCCTCCACTGCAAAAGGAAGACAATGGTATACATCACAAAGATTGCAATGAGCATGAAGGTGGGCACTGCATGCAGAGCGCTTGCACACTGCCGGCCCCCGGCCAGCATCCCCCTGAGACCCAGGCAGATGCACCACGAAAGGGCAGGGCAGGAGGGTGGTTCCAGGCTCCCCGCTGACAGCGTGGACACCCTTGGAGCATCAGGTCAATGCATTCACTGAGGCCGACGGTCTGGTCCTCCACTCTTCCGTGTGCTGGCGAGGAAAATTACAGCTGCATGTCCTTAAAAGAGCACGGCCACTTCAAGGAGGCTGATATTAAACCAAGGTCATGGAATGGAGGTGTAAAATCAGAACGCCAGCATGTTGCTTTGAGGGGCGTAGCGGGTTACACTTTGGGCCGCTAACTGCAAGGTCAGCAATTGGGCTCCCCCAGTCACGTCAAGAGAGAGAGATGAGGCTTAAAGATTTACCATCTCAGGAAACCAAAGGCACAGCTGTACTCTGCCCTGTAGGATCACGATGAGTTGGAATGAACTCACAGGGGGTGGACAGTGTGCCACTTGATCACGTGGCCACTTCATATTGTAAATGTCAAGGCTCCTAATCACTTGGGATCTTCTGGGTAGTGAATCCATTTTCTCCCATTCAGAAGCCAAATTCTAATCAGAAAGGTGCTTGATCAGTATGGAATTGGAGCAAATGGAGTTATTTATATGGTTAAAATGTTTATTCACCATTTGCCTTTAGGCTTCCACCTCCTTGAAAAGGGTGTGGGCTAGGCTTGGGGCTACCAACTACAAGGACAGCAGTTCAAACCCATCTGATGCTCCGTGGGAGAAAGATGAGGCTGTCTGCTCCTTTAAAGGTTTACTGTTTCAGAAACCCTAAGGGGCAGTGCCACTCCACCCTATGGGGTCACACTGGATGAAGACCAACTTGATGGTAGTGGGTTTATCATACAATAGGGCCAGTCTCAGAGCAAAGTCCTCCCTCCTCAGCACACTCAGGTGGACAGAGATGTATCCCTCTCCCTTTGAACTGTTTCCATGGGTGAACACAACAACCCTGTTATTGATAGGCTATGTCTTCCTCTCACTCTGTTAATATATACAGTCTAGTGTTGTGCAAATGCTCCTTCGGTGACTCTGCACATCATTTCTCTCACTCATGAAGGCCTCCTGTTCCACTTCTCTTATTTCTGAAGTGTCTATGGGCACCTCCATAATGTCCCACCACCTCTGTCCTCGGGGGTTAAAAGTAACTGATGCAAAACACTTCCCAGACTCCTCACTTTCACGTTATCTATCTCATCCCAGCTTACAGAACACTTGGCTCTGTAAAACAGCACACACACAAAAGTCCCTACCTAACAGATGGTTCACGAGGAGAAGGTACCAGAGCCCCCAGAGAACCACGTCTGAAGGAAGGTCATTTCACCCTACCTGGGCAGCCCAGCAGCAGCTGGGTCTCGGTGGGGGCAGCCCAGGATTCTTACAGACCTGTCTCCACCTTTGCCTTTTTAGAGAGAACATATCAAGGCATGCAAAGCGCGATGGTGTGGTTTGAGGCCATGGTGGGCCATTCCTTCAAATGTGTGAGTGAACAGAGCATCAAGCTGTCCCCTCTCCTTCAACTGAAAACCATGAATGTCCAGCTTCAAGCCTTTGATTTTGAAGCAGACAACTTTGGAAACGGTAAGCTCCAGGTTCATCCTATCAAAAGCATGAACCTTGGGGAGCAGCAAAGGGTGGGTGGGGTGGGGTGGGGATGTAAGACTCCACAGAAGCCATCAAAGGCCTACAAGTTCCGTGAGCTTGCAGTGAGAGTCCACAGAGCTCTTGGGGCTGAGCGCCTCTCACACACCATCCCCTCCTGCCATTTCCTCAGCGACGCCAAGACCCCTGAGCCCACTCGTGCCCATTGACTTCCGGGTCATGTTCCGGCTCAGACAAACTCATTCAACACTGACAGACAGTGGCACTGGTTTTCTCCTCATCTGGCCCCACCACCCACGCTCACTCATTTAGACACCCGCTCATTCAGTCAAAGCAGAAAGCACCGGCCCTGCCCCCTCTTCCCAGCCTGGACATGGTGTTGCGTCCTGGTGAATGCAGGTGTGCTTAGAGAATGCTTTAAAGATCCTGTGTGTTCATGGTTTCCAAATGAAAGATTCCAGAAGGGATTCTATTCCAGGGACAGAGGGAGGGGAGAATAATAGTCTGAGGAAGAAACAAGTTCTGTTGGACCCCGTGCTTCAATTATAAGCTCTTTCAACTCACAAGTGCTTTGCTGGGGTCAATTCTAGTTCCCATTCGGCTTCTGCCTCGGGTTCTGACCACCATCCATACTGCTGGATTGACGGCTAGCGGGGGAGAGACAGGTCTAGGAAGTGGGCAAGGGGCAGACAGGATGACTTTCCAGAAAGCACTTTGCCCCCTGCCAGGAAAAGAAAACGTTACAGGGGCTCAACTTCCATTTCCAAAGTAGCGCTCTCATGAATACCTCTGAGCAGTCAGCAACTGTAGATGGAGCTAGAAGTTTAGCCACACAGGAGGCTTCTATCGTGCAAATCTGATCTCCATTTTGGATTACCTGAGCCTTGAAGGTATAGCCGTATTATAGCTTTTCATTATAAGTCTGAAAGCAGAAAATGCTGACACAAGTGGTGGAAACCAGTTGGCAGAGGAGGCACCCAGGTAGTTCTTGCCTCGGCAGTCTGGGTTGCTGTGGGTTTTGTCTGAGCCTCTTCTAGTCTCTGCATCAGGTTCGGCTCTTTGCCACAGCGCTAGGACGGAATAGGAAAATTTGCTAGTTGGTCTTGCCCTCATTTTGTCACGTGATCTCAAAACTAAAACCAAAAAAAGGATTTTTTTTAAAAGAATCATTTACGAAGGTTTGAAAATTCTCTATAATCTTGTGATCCTTTCCTCCTCGAAACTGGTATGTGAAGTACAGAAGTCTTCATGACAGAGCCTGGAAATACAACGTTTCAGCAGCTCCAACCTGGCCTCCAGGTAGCAGCGCTCACAGGGGGAGGGAGAAAAGCAAGCTTTTAAATTTTTCTTTAAAAATAAAAATAAAATTTTTTTTGTTCTCAAATTTCCGTCCACTGGCTAGTTCCCCAAGTGGGAAACTCTAGCAGAGCCTTCCCATCTCTCTCATACCAACATATCATCTCTCTCTCGTACAAACCATCACAGAGCCCTGCCATCCTGCCTCCCAAACACTTATTCGCGCCACAGCGATGGCCCCAGCCCAGCCCCAGAATCCCAGGCTGTGGCTTCAGATGCCACGAAAGAAGCTCAAAGGTCAACATGATGCCGTTCAGTACCCAGCACTGTCAACCAGGGAGTGAGCAGCCCCGGTGGCGCAGAGGTTAAGTGCTCAACTGCTAACCGAAAGGTCTGCTGTTTGGACCCACCAGCCACTCATGGGAAAAAGCTGTGGCTGTCTGCTTCAGTGACTATACCGGTCATGGGAACCCTATGGGGCAGTTCTACCCTGTCCTAGAGATTGACTAGCTATAAGACAGCCTAGCTGGCACCCAAGGACAACCAGAGGTGGGGAAAGAGCGAGTTTATCTTTAAAAGCTAGCGAATCCGGCTTCAAAAGACACTTGTCTGTGTAAAGGACCATGGGAGCTGGGAGGAAAGTGTGATGGATCAACAGGGTGGGAGGTGGGTGTCATAGGAGGCCTGGCCAGTAGGTGACATTTGGACAGAGCCTTGAAGAAGTGGAGAAGAAGCCAGCAAGGGTACAAGCACAGCTTCGGAGAGAGCACAGTCCTCCCAAACCATTGGCACCTGATTCTCCCTTCTCCGCTCTTGCTTCCTATCCTCCTGCAGGGAGTTTCCCCAGCCCCACGACACGAGGGGCTGCTGGGGCAGCCATTGAGGAGGCATAGATTTGGGGCAGAAAGCTTCTGCGTGTCAGTTGACGCAGGTGCCTGTACTCAGAGTTGAGAATCACAGCTGTGGGGCTTCAGAGTCAGGACCCTCTGGACCAGCCCAAACCAAACACATAGTCACGAGTCGATTCCTACCTGCAGCAATGCCATATGTTACAGCAGGGCTTTCCTTGAATAGAGAAGGACACTGGTTCAGTGCTCGCTGCTAACCAACCAAAAGGTGGGTGGCTTCAACCAGCATCTCCGAAGGACAAAAGACCTGGCAGTTTGCTCCCATCAAGAGGATCAGTCTGGAAAAGCCTGTGGGCAATTCTCCCGTGGGGCCACTTGACGGTCCCCAACCGCGACCATCTTCTCAGACACAGTTCCCGGGCAAGGCCTGAACCAACACCCTTCTGCCTGCTAATCAAGTACAAACTATTTGTACCACCCAGGGACCCTTCTAGACCAAGCCAGTGTTTCTCCATGTGAGACCTGCCCCCAAATGGATCAGAATCACCTGCCCCTCACCCCCACCCCTCTGAATCATCCGCTCTAGGCCCCAGGGCCTGGAATCTGCCTGTGACCCATTCCCCCAAGTGATTACAAGCACTGGTTTCAGATCTCAGCCCTGTGTGGAGGCAGCAGGGGCTCCCCCAGTTCCCTCTCTCCTTCAGTCTCCTGTCTGGAACGCTGAGGCAGAAAGGGCCGGGGTCACGTGCCAGCGTCTGTGACCAGGCCGTAATACCCACCCCTCTGACTTCCATTGCAGTGCAGGAATGTTACAGTGACAGAAGCCGGAGAGAAATCCCCGTGGCCATGGGCCTGAGTATCACCGGACTGTTTGTCGTTTTGCTAACCGCATGCCTGGTGGCCAGAAAGAGCCCCAGTAGAGGATATGAACACATGTAAAGCCCCGCCTTCTTCAAAACCCGCAAGGTCCCCCAAACCAAATCCATTGCTGCGGAGTCCATTCCGACTCCTAGCAGCCTTGCAGGACAGACTAGAACCGCTGCACCCGGTTTCGAGCGCTGCCAATCTTTATGAAGGCCGACGGCCACCTCTTTCTCCCACCGAGCAGCTGGTGGGTTTGAACAGCCGCTTAGCAGCCGAGCCCTCGGCTACTGGCCATCAAGGGCTCCTGTCGCGCAGATGAGGCTTTGGGAAGTCTGACTTTGCATCTGCCTCCTGAAGCGAAGGGGTAGATTGACCCAGCTGCCTGTCTCAATCTGATTTGAAACCTACCTTTCCACCAAAGGGCCATCAGAAGGCGAGCTGAAGGGTGACCCCATCCCATTTCCTTCTGCTGCTGTCAGTCGGCTCTGTCCAGTGGGGTGACATCCAGCCTTCTTGCAGCAGGCTGCTGTGAGGCACGGGGAGCCAGAGGCAGGGGCGCAGCGCACTGGGGGTGCTAGTCAGGAGGAAAGCATAGGCTGAAGGGAGATTTGTCCGGAAGACATTTTGTCTGGAATGTCATGGCTTTTCTAGTACAGTTTAAGAGCCTCAATCTCCAAGAAAATAAAACCGTTTCTACATAGATTCTAATGTGATTTCAAACTCCGGAATTTTGCCCAAATGATGATTGACTTAAATGACAAGTAATCTTACTGTTTTTTTAAAGGCATATCTTAAACGACTGCTTTACATCATTAGTAAGGACTTTGAAAACTTCCCGACGCTTCCACTTTCCCCCAATGTTAACAATACAGAAAAAGTTAACACTTCAAACTCCCTGCCGTGAAGAGCAATCCAATGCATACGCTGGCCTAAGGACAGAGCAGAGCCAGTCCCAGGGTGTCCATCTTCATGGGAGCTGACTGCCTCTTATTTCTCCCGCAGAGCGGCTGGTAGGTTTGAACTGCCAGGCTTGAGGTTCACAGCCCAATTCTTTTTTTTTTTTTTTCCATGTATGTAACTTTTATTTGTTTTGTTTTGTTTAGTCATTTTATTAGGGGTTCATACAACTCTTATCACAATCCATACACACATCAATTGTGTAAAGCGCATTTGTACATTCATTGCCCTCATCATTCTCAAAACATTTCCTCTCCACTTAAGACCCCGGCATTAGGTCCTCATTTTTCCCCTCCCTCCCCGCTCCCCCTTCCCTCATGACGCTTTGATAATTTATAAATTGTTATTTTGTCATATCTTGCCCTGTCCGACATCTCCCTTCACCCACTTTTTGGTTGTCCGTCCCCCAGGGAGGAGGTCACATATAGTTCCTTGTAATCGGTTCCCTCTTTCCTACCCACTCTCCCTCTACTCTCCCTGTATCGCCACTCACACCACTGGTCCTGAAGGGATCATCCGCCCTGGATTCCCTGTGTTTCCAGTTCCTATCTGTACCAGTGTACCTCCTCTGGTCTAGCCAGACTTGCAAGGTCGAATTCGGATCATGATAGTGGGAGCGGGGAGGAAACATTTAGGAACTAGAGGAAAGTTGTATTTTTCCTCCTTGCTACATCGCACCCCGACTGGCTCGTCTCCTCCCCGAGACCCCTCTGCAGGGGGATCTCCAGTCACAGCCCAATTCTGAACCCACTACCCCACCAGGGCTCCTAGTTTCCCTGCTCAGTACTTACCAAAGAGGTCGGCCCAACCCCGAGACCCAATAAATGTTGTCTCTGATTTCTTCACCTTCCTTTGTCCTCAGCTATCTTACCACTGTCCCTCTTTCGTCTCTGTTTTTTTCTGTCATTAGACAGGTTCTACTCCGTCCCCACATATTTTTCAGATCCACTTGTTAACCGTGTGGTCGTTGGGGGAGGGGCAACGCATAAAAACAATCCCACCGACAAACAGGAG